CCCCAAAACCCCAAAACCCCAAAACCCCGTACATTATAATGATTTAATTGGATTTAAAGAATAACAAATCAAAATGGAAGCTAATGAATCATAAAAAAGATTAATATTTGTCGATGGTCTGAACATAGTTGATCGATTTTTTATCAGAGATGGTATCAATTTTTGGGCCTTTGAGATTGCGATAAAAAGATTTAATAAGTTTATTGAAGCCACAAGAAATACAGGAATAAATATGGAGGTTTTTATAGATTATGGTGTTTAGACGCAAGAAACTTAAGATAAATGGAGAACAAGGAGGGAAAAGGAAGTAAGAGATGAAGAATTAAATATGATTCCAGGAATTCAATTAATAATTGGGCAACTATTTTAAAAAGCAGGATATAAAGTTCACTATTCTGAAGTTGACAATGATGACACATTGGCAGCATACGCTTAAAGTTATGGTGCCGATATTTTGTCAGCTGATAAGGATTTTATGAGGTATAGAAATAGATCGTATAAAATATACTGTGACTTTGAAATAGAAAAAGGAAAACTCAAGTTGATACCCAAAAATGAATTTAAATACTTAGCATAAGTTGCAATTGATAGAGATCTAATGCTTGACCCACTTCCTTTGACTTATAATACATACCCTTCATTAGAAAGAATATAGAAACATCTAATACATTATAGAGGTACAAGTTCACCTCTTACGAGGAGATTTGGAAATCCTCAGGGTAAAATAATAAAACTTAAATCTCATGTTTATCATACTTATGGGATTAAAGAGCCAGTAAATGAAATTTATCCTGAATGGGATACTAAAAAGAATAAAGTAGTTTGGATTGATGAGTTTAATAAGCCATAAGATCAGGTTTAAGAAGTGGATGATTTGTTAAAAGACCCGCTGAAGTATTTGCCTGATATGCTGAGAGGTATTGAAAGGCCTAAGAGAGTGTAAAATTAACTATGGTTTAATCATTTGTACGGCTGTTGCTATTCTATCATTGAGTATCACTGTGTAATTTTCAACAAGTAAATACTTGAAATATTAGAATAACTCAAGAAAATTTTAATAAAAGAAGGATTTAAACTTGATAAAGCTGCTGATGAGGAAATAAAGATTTAAGAGCAATTAAATTCTAAATAATCATGTGCTAAATGCGGAAAGACATTCTAACTTTCTCAGAAGGAGATTTAATAGTTTAAAAAGAATAATATCAAAATGTCAGCCAATTGCTAGAGTTGCTTATATAAAAAATGATATATATTATTTATTTTAAAGGATTCAACGAAATTTCAAAAATATCAGCAAATTCTCAATGAGGGGTTTTGGGGTTTTGGGGG